TTAGGGAACAATTATGCTACTGATAATTATGGTTCTTTCAAAATTAACAATTTTCGTTTCATAAGATCTGTCCTAAATTATGATTTCCACGATGCAAAACACAAGAAGAAATCATGTTGCAAAGGCTGCAAATGGATGGCAGTGGGATCATGATGTGAACAATTGAGGAGTGTTTGTAGAAAACAATGTAAATGTTAAAATTGAAACATTTTACTTTTTTTTCTTAAAATATTATGTGCGCCAATGGGAATACGCTAGTATGCCATTTAGGTACAACATCTTTTTTTAAACAGTTATAAATATTATATGTATTTTATTATATTTTATTTTATGTATTTTATTATATTTTATTTTATTATATGTAAATATTATATATGTATTTCTTATGAACTGCTACCATTATTGAAAGTGAGCACAAATGTTGGTCAATTTTTTACATGTTACAACAGAAGGGATACTTTGTATACAGGGTGTCCGTTTATAAATGTCCAAGCAAATATCTCGTAAATGGTTGGAGATACAAAAAACTGTAATAGAAGAAAACACGGTTTTAAGTCAGCTACAACATGCACGTTAACTAGATTATTTTATTTGTAACCTTCCGATTTACAAAGGTCAACTTTGTATTTTGAAACGAATACATATTAGTTTTTTTACATATTTAATTAGTAAAAGTCATTTGCAATCAAAATGCTATCTTGTTAAAAACTGCTATTATGCGTCGTTTAAAAGATAATCCAATTATTGGTAACCAAATATTGCTAACAAAAGTGTATCTACTATCGGTCAAGAAGATTGTCTTTCTAATTATTTAAAAATGACTGTAAATGTGTGTTATCGTAAAGGTGCGAAGAAGATTTACGCAATTTCAGATTAGTATATAATATAATATTATATGTACTTATAATGAATGAAAACTGTTACACTGTCTCATTCAATGTAAATATGCATAAATAAGTACCGATGCAGCTGAGCAGAATCTACTGTTCGTATCTACCCACTATGAGTTACCGGGACAAACGAGTTTTTGCTTTCACTAAACAGATAAGAGTTATAAATAAATGAAATAAAAAAACGAAAAATAAATTAAAAAAGACAAAATAAATATCTGATAAAAAGCGGAAGTTATTTATAACTCGGCCTAATATAATTCACGGATTTTGCAACATTTTTGCAATTACGCCTGCCCTCGATGATTCCAATAAATTATACGAATCGGCGAGATAATAACTTCTCTCGAAATTTTTATATTGATTTACATTGTTACGTCGATACAATAGCTTCGTCTGCGTCGGAACACGTGCAGATAAAAAAAGTTCCTACTCCGCTAAACAAAAGGGAAACAGAAAACGGGGCAGAATGCTTTGTTTCTCGGTAATGGTTCAGCGAACGAATAATACAATGGAGATCTATTAATTTTTAATTAACATGAAGCTCCGGCTTCCGGGCAACACAGTACGAATATTCGAAAGTCTCGTTGCGCGGTACAATAACGCTATGTACAAGTTCTGCCGACAGCGGATTTTATCCACTCATTAGCAGACAAAAAATGCACGCGGGCCGGTATTATCGGGTCGGGTAACAAGAAGCCAAGCTTAACGAGGAAAAAGGAGAGTTCTATTTTCCTAGGGTTTCCAAGAACACAATACTAAACCAACGAACGAACGAAACTCGCGAAACGTGGTGTCAGGAATTATTGTGGATAAATCTCCATCCTTCTAGAATAAAAATGCTGAGCGATCTAANGATGCAGCTGAGCAGAATCTACTGTTCGTATCTACCCACTATGAGTTACCGGGACAAACGAGTTTTTGCTTTCACTAAATAGATGAGGTTTCAAAATAAATAGAATAAAAAAGAAACAAAAAATAAATAAATAAAAACTGCACATTTTAAAAACAATTGGAAATTAAGCAAGTAAACATAGGATAGACTCATTGTTTCTATGCAGTCTCGTAATAGAAGAACTGGACTTTCGAATGTATCAAACTAGAATTAGTTAGGTTATCTTGTCCTAAACAAAACTGTCCCATCCATGGCAGTTCGCCACTTAGCATCCGTCATAGATTTGCGTAACAAGTGTCAAAAAATTAAATGCATTTATCTAGTCGAAGGAGGGCAAAGTAGCGCCATTACCGGCGTCTTTCGGATTAAATTCGAATTGGGGAAAAAATGACGCGTGAGGGAGCAAGACAGAACGATATAACCGAGGAGACGGCGGAGAAAGAAGGTCTGGTCCCTACGGAGCCGCGGCTTTGTTCTCAGCTATTACTCGCCCCCGCAACCCCGAGAATATTATTATATCTCTCCTCGTCAACCTTCGTTCTCCGTCTACCGAGCTCGAATTCGGAGCCGGCAGGGCCGCCGAGCTCATCGTATTTATTTTATTAAACCATTTTCCAAGCTTCCTGCAGCGAAACTTTTCCTACCCGAGCGAAAGATAATCATTCCTGCGACTTGCTCTCCGGTAATGCGTTTTGTCTTCCAGCGGCAGAATTTGTTTGCGCAACCGTAATCGACTTCGCGCAGCTACGTTTATTTTATTATCGATCTCAATCTGTTAACGAGTCCGTTCGCTACGCTTCCGCGGATTCTTTGGACTTTCGGCTTGATCTGGTTAGCTCTGCGGAATTCTTTTTGGGTGCGGAGAATGATGGAGGTTTTAACCGATTAGCGCCGTCTTATGACCGAACGGAAACTGATTATTTAGTTACGGTGTATTACTGGATAGAATTTAACTAATTTTAGTGAATGGGACGAAATGATGAAAGTTGTGGGGAAGTATAATTCGCTGATGCGGGGACCCAGGGATATTTGGTTTAATTACGTTTCAATAATAATTGTTAACTACATATATTATTACGTATTATTATTAATTACATATATTGTTACATATATCATTACGATTTATGTATGTTATCACAGAAATTAACGATTACAGTTCATATTGGAATAAAGACTAATTGTGTTGTTATAATACGAGGGGATCAAGATTGTAATGATGTAAGTCACATTTTCGAAAATTTTGATATACGTTTTAAAATGCAAGCTACACATACCAATACGTTAAAGAGAGATGCGAAATAAGTTATAACATAACTGTAGATTGACTGAAGTATAAATTAACTGAACTATAAATTTGGTTAGTTAATACCCTTAATATTAAGGGTTAATACCCTTATTAATAAACCATAACATTGCTTCTTTCTCACAATAAGGAAAATGTGACTTTCATTATTATGAGAGAATTTTAATGAATATAATACAATGATCCAAGGGGTATAATGATAGCTTGTTAATTTGACGTTTTAGAGTTACCCGCATCAAAATTTATATGGTCGATTAACCATTTGTTAGTAGTCCATCAATTATGTTACAGCTAATGGTAGATATAAAAAAATTGACAATAGAAAATTATATTGTAAATATTCATTGTAAATATTTTATTATAAATATTCGTTGTAAATATTGTATTGTAAATATTCATCATTAACTGATTTCCTAGGTATTTCATTTTTATTATCATACTTCAAGTAGATCCGATACTTCAAATTAGTATAGAAATGAAATGCAATGAGAGTCCCAAACATGGAAACAATAATAGTGTTAAAAACATTCTCATCGATAAAATAAAACTGAGATTACAAGATAATGCAAATTGCGTTTACAAGACAGTAGTCCTACTATGTCAAACCTAGTTCTTCTTTAGAAAGTAATATGAAAAATGTTAAAGCATTTGCTCCTGCACTTCATATTAGCAAATAATAATGCGGGAAACGATTTTATAAACACTCCCCAATCCGCCGTTAGGATGTCGGGTACTCGATCTTTTCGTGTACCCAAAAGTTTCGGGCCCGACTCGAACCCGAAGAAAATACCCGACCCGACGTGACCCAAACCCAAAATGTCGGACATCCGCACACCCCCAATGATTAGGGGTGGTCCGATCGCGAAACTCATCAGCATGCGAGCACGGAAAACAGACAGTGCGTTCTATCGTCAGGCTGAAGATACTTGCGGAGACGTGGCGGGCCGCTGGGTATAATAAAGTCTATTTCAGTTGGTATTATGTCAAGTTAGCCTCGTTAGCAGAACTCGAGCTTTTTAAGAAACACTCGGCCGCCGCGGTTGCTGTCGGCTCGTTGAACATGCACACCGGCAAGAGGCCGCCCCTCTGACCAGCTATGAATGCCACCCCTTACACGCAATTATCCTTCCATATCCGTGCACGAGAAGCAGGTGTAGTTAAAGCAGCTTAAGTGGCGCCTTCAGCGCCGTTCCTCATCTTACGCTCGGTTACGTTTTTTTTCTCTGCTGTTCGCGTCGCCTTCTACCCGGCACCCTTACCTTCTCGCAGCGTCGTGGTCGTTATAGACTGATTAGGACACATAGTCCTCGCTGTAAAATCTTGTCATATAACACTTACAAGCGAACTGATTATCCCGTTTACATCATTAACGCGTGTACAGGGTGGGACGACATAACTTGCACACCTCGAATAATTTTTGGAGTAATGGAGATCGGCTGTAGCATTTTGATTTTAAAATATGATTACAGAGAAACTATTGAATTTGCGACGACGTTTCTGGTATGAACATGTGCACTTGTTTAAGATTACCGATAAACAGCGCTTTTGTTAGACATCTTGGAATAATCAAATTATTAGTACAGAATAGGAAGCGAAGATAATGGTAAATCCGATCTCGGGTCGGTTCTAGGTTGTAACACAACTTGGGGTCAGTAGTGACCTACACTCCCCTCCAACTAATGATAATTTCATATTCAATTTTCTAAAATATCAAACTTTGTTCCATCGTAATTTGAAACCAGTAAATATTATGCAACAACAATATGAAGGAATAACAAACAATTGAACAAAACTAATTCGTTTCCCTATGATTCAATTTGTACATTTTTTATCGTGTGAATATTTTGATTTCAATTTGATGATTGTGTTTAATAAATGTTATTACTTAACGAGAATCTTTTTGTCTTTTCAGGTGTGGTTTCAGAATCGCAGGGCGAAGTGGCGAAAATATGAACGCTTGAAAGAAGAGCAGAGGAAGAGAGAGGGTGGGGGTGGAGGTGGCGCACTGGAAACACCAGGATTAGCACCACCGTCGTCTTCGTCGGCAGGACCAAGTCCCACCGGCCATGATCCTGAAGGTACGGTTTTGATATAGTAATAATAAAATTAGACTTATAATAATTATACACGCGATCCGTTTACCATTACCCAAATTATAAAATTTCTCTACTGACTATTTCTATCATATTTATTTTTTCAATTATAAATACTCCGCAACATAAACATGTCTCCTCACATTGCTATAAATTATTTCTTTGATTATGTTCCAACCTTTGTTAGAACCTAATACGATAATTATACTGAGGACAAAATTTATTGTAACCCTGTACGTTCTACATTGATGTTTTCGGGTTGCGTATAACTTAACGAAATCTACAAAGCGCATTGTTTAAATTGTTTTGGTTCTATGTTCAGGCAAAAAGAGTTAAAAAAACGAGTTTCTCAGTTTCTTGTCATTTCAAGTAATGACAAAATTAAAGGAAGTATTTTATATGAACGAAGGGCATTGTTTAAATTTTCGTTACAGGCTCAGACAAAAAGTTAAAAAGATATTGTTTTTGATTACGTTTCATATTCCAACAAATGGCAATTTTCGACAAAATTGCTTTACATATTGTCTAGTAAACTAATCCTTCTAATTGTTCCGTTAAAGTTATTCCAGTTATTCCGTAGAAAATTGTTCCAAATATTTTCGTGATCAATCTTGTAGAATAAATATATATCATTTAATACTTCCACGACAAATTTGACGCACGATGATCATACGATAATCCACAAACAAATCTATGAATAAATATTAAAAATCACAGTTGGCTCAAAATGATCCAGCAAACCGTAGTCCGAGGATTAATCACAATCTCATCTTTAATTAGCTTACTATTACCCAAGTGACGATTTACGAGCATAGTAACGCGTAAGCTCGACCCGTTCTTGTCAGATTGCAAACGTGTAATTGTTTATTTAACTCACCATATTTAATTAGAATAATTTGTATCTTTAATTATTCCTCAGAACTGAGTAAATTCCACATCCTTGAAAGTGTTCACTGATATTTAGAATGGTGATTTCATCATAGGAATTTGTCAAGTATTTATCAGAAGAAACATTGTAAAAACAAATTCCATAGACTCGAAAAGATAATGCCATTTGAAACGCTACTAATATTTTCAGCGCGACAATATTTCTCTCTTGCGACCACGGAGTTATTCATCATTCGTGAATAGCGAATAAAAATTGTATTCCCATTTGAATACATACTTTTTGAATAAACACAGTTATTTGTCATTCGCGAATAACAAATAAAAATTGCATCTCATTCGAGCAAAGTCTGTTCGAATAAACATAGTTATTCGCCATTCGTGAATAACGAATAAAAATTGTATCTCATTCGAGCAAAGTCTTTTCGAATAAACGTACTTATTCGTCATTCGGGAGTCACGAATAAAGATTATATTCTTATCCGTTATTCGTCAATCAAATGAATTCTGCCGAAATCTGACGCCAACTTCGTTTCTTGTCCCAAAAAAGGTACAACGAACAGCAACGCCCCCGACGCGGAGGACGCCGGACCAGATGGAGCTGGAGGATCGAGAAGCCCCAGCACGACTTCCGCCTCGGTCAGTCCGCGGCCCCAGCAGAGTCAGCCGTCCCTGGGTGGCGTCTCGACGCCACCGCCAACCCCCATAAGGGCGCCACCGCCACCACCTAGCACCGTGGGGGGTCTCGGCCCACCCGCCGAGAGGTGAGCTTTTAGCTTCGTTTGTATTTACGTCTTTAGGAAATATCTTCCTTCCCCTTTGGCCCCCTGCCCTCTGCCCCAACAACCACCTAGCCCCTATCCCAGCAGCGCCGTTGACGGCCATCTAAAGTCACTCGCGATTCCACGGTGCAAGCACCGCTGAACACGTCGGCCGGATGCTTGATACGCGCCATTAAACCACTCCTCGTAGCTTCCTCCGGTTCCCGACCCTCTTTCACCATCACCCCACAACCCCACCGCCTCGTCCTCCTCCTCGTGCTCATCCTCGTCCTCATCCTACTCTTCCACAGACCCGGTAGCCACCCACCGCCATCCCTCCCGCAGCGTTCCGCTCGTCCCGGCAGTCGCTGCCGCTCGTATAATCGCGATAATCGTCGCCTCGTTAAATCACTATCGGACCCCTCTCGCGTGCAAACTCGGATCCCGCGAGATCCTCTGGCTCGCTTCGCTTCGAACGCCCCCGCGATTTAAGGATGACCGTTCGCGTTTACGACCGGGGCTACAGATGAACTGGTCCCTTAACGGGTCGCCTGCTAGATCCCTGGAGGGAGTCTTCCTCATGGACGTTCAAGGTTTTTCTCTGTATGCTCGGTGTATGCCAAATGGGTTCTTGAAATGATGCGAGATAAGATCGAGATTCACGTGTGATGGATTTCGTTGTTCGGTGTTTGAGGGACACTGGGCTCCAGCGTTATTCTTAGCAAATGCAGACGTAGTCTATGACACGATTCTCACACGACAAGCTTGTGAACACATCCGGCGTTTCTCTTCGTTTGTAGTGGATTGTCTTCTAATGCTTCTGAAATGGCAGAAGATGAGATCGAGAATTACGATAGAGTAAATTCTCCCCAATTGTCCTTCAGCTTGTACATAAAACTGGACAATTTAGGAAGAGGAGGCGTAATTATTCGAGCCTTGCGTGTCGTTTTTTTCGCCGATTGTCAATGACTATAAAACCGAGGTGCAAGGCTCCAATAATCGTATCTTCTCTTCCCAAATTGTCCACTTTTTTTTACTAGTTGAAGGATAATTCAGGAGAATTTATTTTATTATTCGGTATTCGATGCACCGTGGTGGATTCATAAGATAAAACCTGACAGGAATGCGGTGACGTATGGTGAGAATGCGGGTCCGATTGGTCAAACACGGAGCGTATTGCCTAATCTCGCACGCATTTTCGAGAAGAGCTCTCTATAGGCTGAAGTGGTCGCACGCGTTAATCGGATTACGCGACGAAGGGAGACGAAGAGAGGGAATGAGACGTATGAAAAACAAATGAGATAGTGCAAATCGACCGGTAGTAGCAATAGTCTACGTCAGGGCACGGAATTAAGCAACACGCAACATGAGGGTCACGAGGGCTACGCCTTCTGACTCCCGTCGCGCGGAGCACGTCAGGTACGTGTGCCGATTACTTTAAATGTGTATAGTCGCAGCATTTATGCGACCACTGGGGAGCAAGACGCACGACAATAGTAAGAAGGCGTAGCCGTCGCGATCCTCGTGTTGCGTGCTGGTTAATTCCGAACCCTGGTCTATATGGTGAAACAGCGTAGCGTCGATGGGAGTGTCACGGGACAGATTCCCAAATAGACATAAAGTATTTTCCGCAGAAAATACAAGTACAAAATAATACGTAGAACGATGGCGATACTGACGCAGGTCTAGAGTAGATACAACTGGGTTGACACTGAATCTAGAACTGCTTTATTGGGTTTCTGTGGCTTTTTATATACGCGATTTTTATCTTAGAGTATAGGAGTAGGACTATATCTGGGGTCATGTTCCAATGGTGACACACCAAGCAAGATAAGGGAGTCTGGCTTCACAGGAGCGTCAGAGGTGGGGATAGCCAGGCCTAACGATGAGGCCCTGTTGCCTCTGTGCCGTCTCGGGCCTCTTTTTGTGATCTTACCCCGTTACACGTCCATCGGCATGTAGCTACTACTACAGTAGTAAAATAGCGTACTAACGTTGTAACATAGGGTGGTTTGATTGCATATTGACAACAAGCTTTTTTCAGTACCGTTCATTTTTATTGAATTGTCATCATAATTGTTTTCTAATGCTTCTAACTTGTGTGATAAGACGAGAACGTCTGAGGGATACTTCGTTATTCGATGTTCGATGGACACTGATGCGGACACCTAGCAAATGCAGACGTAGCCTATGAACTCTGTAGACGACAAGCTTATTTATTAATATATTTGTCCCTTCTTGTCATTTGTATCGGACTGTCTTTTTAATTGTTTTTTAAATTAAAATGAAATTACGCAAGATTAACGTTTAAGTGTGAAGCGTACTTTGTTATTTGATATTCGATGCACACTGACGTCACATCAATATGCGGACACATAGCTAACATGGTTGAATAGCGTACTAATAATTTTCTAAATCGAACTAGCATTGATAGATTGATTTGCTTTCGTGTAGACGACAGACTTTGTCAGTGGTCTTCGTTTATATTGTATCATCTCTACAACTAGCTTCTAATGCTTCTGGAATGGCGCAAAATGAGAACGAGATTTATGCATGAAGCATATTTTGTTATTAAGTATAGTGAAAACCAGCATTATCCAGGCTAAGCCAAGTGACGTGAATGTTTTGATAATAGAACAGTTGCTTGGCTGCAGTGCCAGATTTCATATGAATTGATTTCTATGATAAATCGTTTTGCGTATGGCTCGCCTTAGATTGTGCTGATAACGTGTGAAACTTATTCTAATAATGGACAATTCTCTAAATTATGCTTCTTTAGAAATTTCCGAATAAATATTAGCGGAGTTACGTTTGGTTGAAAAAAATAGGTATCGATCGTATAAGGGGAAAAGAAGCTTTAAGTACATAATTTAATAATCGAGTCAGATCTGTTGTGTTTAAAATATATAGAATTAGAATTAAATGGAGAGAGCATTGCCAAATGATATATTGGGTTGGCAACTAAGTGATTGCCGATTTCAGTTATAGATGTCTCTCACTCCCATTTTTGTGATATCCGTAAATGTTATATTATAAAATTATTATTATTATTATTACTATTATGTTATTTTTTATTATCCGTGAATGTTAGCAACTGGACAAATTGAATGCAGCGATCAAGGAAAAGCGACCAGAATTGGTCAATCGTAAAGGTGTCATTTTCCACCAGGACAATGCTAGGCCGCACACGTCTTTGTCCACACGGCAAAAATTGATGGATATTGGTTGGGAATTGATGTTACATCCACCATATAGCCCTGATCTCGCGTCATCGGATTACCACTTATTTCGATCCCTGGACAACTCCCTTCGTGGTAAAACTTTTAACGATGATGACGCTGTAAAATCTCACTTAACTCAGTTTTCGGCCGAAAAGGATCAGACTTTCTACGAGCGTGGAATTTTCAAGTTGTCAGAGAGATGGCAAAAGGTCATCGAACAAAATGGAAAATACATTACAGATTAAACTTCATTCCAAGTAAAAAAAAATTTTTTATTTCATTGAACAAATCGGCAATTACTTAGTTGTCAATCTAATATAATTCAAAGTCGACAAAATATAATGAAAAAAAAGACATTTTGTATCTTGAAATGTTAAAGAATATATGTGCCAAATGACAATAAATTTCATCAAACTCTTATATTATAAAAAAATTGCCAAATATAATTTCCCATTGGAATACTACACACGAGTCTCCCCCCTTAAATACAGCGAAACTTCTTATAAAATATGATAAAAATGTCGTCAAGTAGAAATTATAAATTCTATGAATATCATGCTGTGTTACAATTTCAAATAATTATATTCACAAAATTAATTTAATGGTCTTTACGTGAAATACAAAATCGTGGTCACACATGCGTGACGCTGATAGCGAACGTGTTAATACAGTAAATTCTCCCTAAATGACGCTCAGATAATGAAAAAAATGAAGAATTTGGAAAGAGGAGATACGATTATTGGAGCCTTGCGTTTTTATAGTTCTTAACAATTGGTAACTATAAAATCTCCTCTTCCCAAATTGCCCATTTTTGTGTACAGTCTGAACGTCGATTAGGAAGAATTTAGTGTACAGCTGCTTCTATTCAATCGGACTGTCCACGATGGCTCCCTTCATTATTGATGCGCGAAGTAAGTACAATTGATTTTGCCTTTTTATTTACCACTTTTATGCTAATAATAACTACTTTTATGCTAAACAAACGGTCTGTCAGCGTTTACGTGAGTTTTAGTAGGTGCAGTAGTTAAGGGTTAATACCTCCGAACGAATCCTCTTTTACGAACGAATCCTCAGCGCGAAGACCCGAATGGAATAACATCGATCCCCTCCTTATACAACCATACTCTCTTTGCGCAACCATACCCTGCCTACGTAAATGGTAAAAAAGTGGAGGGTAAGACGCGGAATCCCCCGATTTCTTTCTGCAAGACAGCATCCTGGCGGTGGTTCTTTATAATCCCAGACAGTGCTCGACCGGAATCGACTGGAGAAGGTAAGAACAATGTCGAAAAGGTAGACACACGGGATATACATACTTGGCGGCGAGTGACTCGAGTCAAGATGGTAGAGCCGGGCGAGGAACACGACGGTGGCTGACGAGGGGGTTGTGGAGGACCTGAAAGGGGGGGCGGTCGGAGGGGCGCAGGGGTTTGAGAGGCGAAACGGTACGAAGATACTCCTTCGCCGTCTCCGCAGTTGTAATTTATTTAAAACCGCTCGCCGTAAATATATCCTCATCATTTATTCAGAGGCTCGGCAGTTTCTCGACTGCGGGGGTGTACGCTTTTGCGTTTCTCCTTACCCGTACCGACCGACCTAGGAGCGAGACTCCCGTGCAGTCGATTCGAGGAACAGGGGCGGATCTGGGGTTACTCGGCTGGAAGGGGCTCGTCTTTCTTTTAGCTCGCGTCTTTCTTGTTTTATGGTAACGTTCTTAGCATGGGATTTAAATTACACGCCGGCGAACGTAATCTTGAGTGGAATTGGTTTTCCGCCCGGACC